CTGAATGTTTGTTGTGAGAACACGCAGAGGCCCCTGTGCAGCTTGTTATTTTTCAGACTAATTCTCAGACAGGAAAATGTGCAGCAAGTCTATTTGCTAAAATAGTTTCAACATCTTTTATGTAATGCTGATACATCTGGAAGTGAAAATGCTAAGAGTTTCATTTCACTAAAAATGGAATTTTTTTTTTAACCTTTAAATTCAGATCACATTTAGTCACATTTTCACCATAGTCCTAAGAGTATCAAAGTGCGTATTCATTGACACATTAAGTCAGTATTTACTGAGAATATCTTACGTGCAAAGAAGTGTGTAGGTCAGGAAAAATGCAGAGAGAGCTGGTCAGGGAGTGTAAGGGGCTCACAGTCTAGGGAGGAAGGCAGATCATTACACGGCCAGCCAGACAGAATCCATGTGGGAACATGTCACAGAGGAAGTAACATCTGAGCTGAATCTTAAAGGAAGAGGAACATAAATGAATAAGGACATTCCCTGTTGAGGGAACAGCATAAATAAAGAGGGATTTTGCCTAAAATAAATTTCTAAGATTTCACCAGATTTTATGACACAAAAGCAAGCAACACAATAATGAAATTAACAGTAAATTCAGATAAAAATTGTCTCAGTAAATTTAAGGCTGTTTTTGCTAAATGGGTTTGTTCTGCCTGCCCATCTTACTTCTGTTGCAAAGAACAATATATTATATTTGCATTATGGTAAACTGGTCAATAGTTTGGGCCAATGAAAGAAATTATAATTCAGTTTAAAAGTAGTTAAATATTCTAGTGGTAAAACAATCAGAAGTTACGAATTTAGCATTTTTATATTTCCCTCTGTAACGAGTAGACATCTCAGGAAATGGTTAAGTCCCAATTACAAATCGAACTTGCTTTGGGTATTACATTTATCACAGAGATAAAGATAAATTGAAAAGAGAAATCTCAAAATGCAGTAATGGTGGTACTTTATATTTCACTAGCAGACAGTATATAAAATACTTTACTGTGCATTATTTCAATTAGGCCGATATGCAAGAGAAAGTGTAATATAGGACCAAATGGTAAGTTTGCTTTGTTGAATAAATTATTACCAGTTCATTCTGCTCAATTGTGTGCTGTGTAGCATTTGTAGACAAATCATTCTTACATTATTTTTTTTCCTAAAAAACTGTTGCAAAATTGTTCTGCCTCTTTTTTGCTTCTTAAATGGTCTGCTTCATTAAATTTTAGCAATTCTAAATCAGAATAGCATCTAAGAGACAACACATGAAATGTGTTTGCTATTAATTCAAACTTTTGTTGGCATATTCGTTAGACAAATACATAATATTTATTTATAAGTCACATTACTCTGTGCAATAATTAGAAGAAATAGAGTGAATATGTATCTCTATCTTGTTTTTTTAGCAAAAGAAATAATGTACAGTAAGCATTTCTAATTATTTCAGCTAAATGTTTATAATGCCTGAATGGCAATATTTGTTGTTTCTATTACTTAGATTTTGTAAATGATGTTTGTACAGAAATATTTCTTTCCTCTGGATGCTTTTGTATCTTTACACATGTACTGAAGATTACTGAAACAATAATTTGTCTTTCAGCTACAGTAATAAAACTCTCCTTTATTCTTAGTTTGCTGGGTACCTCTTTAGCCCTGTTTATGGCCTCACAGAGATGCTAATGCTAATTAATGTTTTAATAGGAAAACATGTTGGCGGATAAAACTGTTAAATTTGAGCATGAATAATAAATTCAACTTGGTTGCCCCTAATGGTAATGTTGACAGTGATACTGATTATACAATTAATATTTATGGAGTCCTTCCGGGGTGCTGAGTTTTATGCTGAGTTATATGACATTTTACTTATATATATTATTTATTTTTCCTAACTGCTTTGTGAGGTAGGCATTATTATGCCCATTTTACAGATGAATTTATAACCATTTTGCCTCACATTTACTAATAATTAAAATACACTATTTTAAATACTCAACTCTGGAGCTTTGCACATGTGAAATATGTATGCATGTATGATATATATGTGTGTGTATATTTATAATATATATGCATATATATTATATATATACACACACATATATATCATACATGCATACATATTTCACATGTGCAAAGCTCCAGAGTTGAGTATTTAAAATAGTGTATTTTAATTATTAGTTATATTTAGATACCAACTATTGATGTACCAGGCTGCTGTGCTAAACTTAGGGATAGTGTGAGAGGCAATACCCCTCCTTTCCTTTAAGGGATTTATGATGTATTGGGAGAGATGAGCTTGCTTAAGACATAAGCACAAGAAAATATGATAATTACTCTAATAGGGCTAACATGGGGTGTGGTAGAAAAATGGAGAAAGAAAGTGTTGGAGAGGGCTTCTAGAAAAGCAGCCCCAACTCTGAGACTTACAGAATGAGTTTGAATTTGCAAAGAGGATGTTGCAGCGGGCTCAGAATAGACCAGGGTATGGAGATGAACAGGAGTAAGGCAGGGTTGGTCAGGGAGCTGCTGGGTTCGGAGTGGCTGAGGGTCAAGTGCAGCTGGAGGAGTGACACGGTTGGCCGGGTCAGGTCACAGGGGCCTTTAATGCTGCTCAGAGGAGTGTAGGTAGACCTTACACTTTGTTGAAAAGCCCTCAGCAAAGGAATTCAACAAACTCTAATTAAATTATGATAAGGGTTGTCCAAGGTCCTTCCCTCCCTCTCTCCTTCTCTCCTTCCCTCTTCCTTCATTTTCTTGTTTATTCATTCAGCAGGTTTTTGTGACATGCTTATAAAGTGCCAAGCATGTGTTGAGTACTGAGGATGCAAGGGTGGGTGAGAGCAGACACAGTTCTGCCCTCCTGGAGTTTACTAATTAGTGTGTAAAACAAGCATCAATCAATGAATCTGACAAAAATGCATAATTGCAAAGTTGACCAATGTAACAAGGGAGTGTGATTCTAGAAAAACGTGTAGTAGGAGGCAGTGATCTGGCTAGGGAGGTCAGGAGAGCATGATTCTAGAAAACGTGTCAGTGAGTCAGCCAGACTGGTCAGGAAAGGCTCCCCTGAGAAGAGTACTGACTGAGCTGGGAGTTGAAAGAGACAAGACACAAGGTCATGTGATGAAGAAGGTGAGTGATCTGGGGAGAAGTCTTAAGAGAGAAGAGATCATGTACGAAGGCCCTGAGGCCTAGGAGAACAAGTTGCTTTTAAGGAATTGTAAGAAAGCCAGGCTGGAAATGAGTGTGAGGGCTGGACCATACCATAAGGGGGTCATGAGAATCTAAGCTCAGTGGAGAGCCATTGCATCACGTTAAGCATGAGCTGATGGTGGAGAATGGGCTTTAGGGTGGCAGGAGTGGAAGCAAAGGCCAACCAGGTAGCCAGCACAATAGTCCTGATGAGCTATAATGGTGGGCAGCTGAGGGCAGACATAGTGGTGCAGGGGAGAAGTGGAGAGATGGGTGCTGGTGGGAGAATCAATGGCTGGGTGGTTGATATGGGGCATAATTTGTGAACAGAAAATGTCAGGATACTGACAGTACCACTGCAGAGCTAGGCACACCTAGGAGAGGGCAGAATCCACTCTACTTGGATTTCTGGAAACCCTCAGGGGAGGGGGGAGGAAGACATCCTGAAGATTTGAGGCTCAAGGTTGGCCTTGAAGAATGAGTAGGCAGTTTTTAGGTGGCAAGGAGGGGAAAGGCATGCTAATCAAAGGGAGGGCATGCACAAAGGCACAGAGGCATAACCAGAGAATGCAAATAACTGTCTACATGTATACACGTTACAAAAGGGCAGTTAACATGGGACCCGTAAATAACTTTGTTGGTTTCTTGATATGCTCTTATCTATTTTATGTTGGAACGATTCTAAGATCAACCATATTTGGATTTGTAAGTAGGTAAAATAAGTTTAAGTATTTTCTTAAACCATAGACATAATATAATATTTTAGAAATTCTTCTCTTTATTTCCATATCATAAATTAGGAATTCACATTTGGCCCTTGATTTTATTATTTGCCTTCTTTCTAATAAAATTTAGCCATTTAAGTAGGAATTGGATTTTAGATTTTTCCTTTGTGCTTTGGCATCTGGATTTGGAATTAGTTGGCATTTTTAATTTACTAAAATAACTATAATTTACTCTTGACTGAAATAGGAACATGTTGATTTTGGTTTAGCTTGGAAATCAAAATTAAAGGACAGTCAAATCCAAAAGTTAGTAATGCTAAGACTGGTGACATGTCAACTCTGGGGAAAAATAAGGTGATGCTGATTTATATTTAACTTTTTAATAAAAAGTACAGGAGTGTTAATAGCAACATTTCAGACAGATGTATAGTACTGGAATTATGATTATGGTCTCTGTTAACAATATTGGCTTAAATGTCTACTAGCTGAACAAACTGTCAGTTTCATCCTTAATAGCAGAGATAGTAGTGATTACCACCTACTTCACATAGCATAAGGCATTAGCACAGTGCCAAGGGCATAGTAAGTGTTCAATAAATGTTAGTGATAACTTTGAATGCCACTGGTACCATGCTTTCCCTGAGTCACCATCAGAGCAGCACATGTGAACGTGAGTCAGGCTGTTATAGCAAATACATGAACTGAATTTGCTTAACTTTGTAGCTTAAAGGAATCTCAGAGAGCGTCAAAATCAGTAATGGTCTGAACATTTTCCAAAGAACTAGTTTTTATTTCTCTGACAGTTTAGAATCATTAGGCAGAGAAGAAGGAAGAACAGGAGCATTGTGATAGTCAGAGGATGGATGGGAAGCAGCCCTTGGCAAGAACCCTCTCATCCTCAGAGAAGAGGACCATTCTGTCTGCTTGCTGAGTTTTTGACATTCTGATTTAAGAACTATGTGTGTTTCTGTGTGAGAGAGAGAAATTATGCAAATATGTTTCTCCTTGCTGTGACCTCAAGCTAATGTGAATGAAGGCCACAGAAAGCTGCCTAACTCAGTGGGAATATTGTTTTTATAATTACAGGCCTAGGCATTTTACATTGAGTGTCTCTACTGCCACCCTTTCTACTCAAGCAAAATCTCTGTGAAAAGATCTGCTGGAAAGGAACTGACTGCTTATGATTCTTCATTGTGATGAAAGCACATGGTACAGGTAAATATCTCCAAAATCTTTATCACAAGTAACTACCATTTAATTGTAAGGCCCCCAAGATAGCGGTGGGGATGTATACATATCTCTTCTCATAGGTGCACACACACAACTAACATACATTTGTAGATTCACATACTGTCTATCTATATATTCTTTCTCTCTCTTCCATAAAAATGGAATTCTTCTCCTTTTTGTGGGAAAGAAACTAACTTCTGTTTATTTTGCAATCTTGGACTAGGACGGATGACAAGGCATTGATAAGAAAGGGATAATTCTCATGATGATGTTCATAAATTCAGCTAAAGATTGCCCTCCGATGCTGGTAGGGAACAATACAACATGTACTATCATCTAACCTCTTTGTTCTCCTTAACAATGTAATAATGAATGTCTTTTCATAGCAACAGATGTTTATCTACAACATGACTTCCAGTGATTATACAGTAATCATGGAATGCATATCCTAAAATACATTTAATTGATCCTTTCTAGTTGGACATTTAGGTTCTTTCTAATTTTTTTGCTTTTATGCTAGCAAGAATGTTCTTATAGCTTTATATTAGTTGGCATTTTTAATACTTCATTAGGATATTTCCTTAGCAGTAAATGGCTCTATTTAAGAGTTTTAAAGATTTTTGATACTTGTTGCCAAATTGCTTTCTAATAAAGTCATACCAGTTTGTATTTTCAGAGGCAGAGTATGAGAGTGTCGGTTTCCATACAGTTTTGCCAGTGCTGAGAATTTTGAAAACAGAGTTTTTGCCAATTAATTGTAAGAAATTGCATCTTCATTTGTTGTTTTTTTTGGAAGGGGAGGGAGGTAATTTGTTTGTAAATCATACTATTTTGAAGAACCTTATCCAGACAATAGCATGCTTAAAACTTACTAGTTTTTGGCATCTGAGAAGTGATACTAAATCAAGAAGACATGGAACGGTCCTAGGAAATTTAAAGCTTTCCCCTCTTTTGAGTCAGTTTTAGACAACCATGATGTCAGGAGATCTCAATATTTTTTCAATGGAAAACATAGTTTTTAATTTCTTAATAAGAATAAAGAGGTATTTAATAAGCAACCCTCATTAAACGTGGATCTGAACTTAATACTACTCGGTTAAAATATACTTGTGTGTATATGTGTGCATGTGTGTGTGTATGAGTGTACATGCATATGTGTGTGTGTATACATATGCAGATACCATCCCAACATTACGAGTGTGATTAAATATAACTGCATATTTAAAGAAGGAAGAACAATCCCAAATGAATAGTCTAATCTCACAATTATCAAAATTGGAAAAAGAAGAATAAATATAGGCATAAAGTCAGCAGGAGGGACATAATAAAAATCAGAGAAGAAATAAATAAAATTGAGAAGAATAAAACAATACAAAAATCAATGAAACCAAGAGCTGGTTCTTTGAGAATATAAACAAAATAGATAAGCCTCTAGCCAGACTTATTAAGAGAAAAAGACAATCAACACACATCAACAGAATCAGAAATGAGAAAGGAAACGTCATGACAGACCCCACAGAAATACAAAGAATTATTAGAGAATACTAAGAAAACCTATACGCTAACAGCTGGAAAACCTAGAAGAAATGGACAACTTCCTAGAAAAATACAACCTTCCAAGACTGACCCAGAAAGAAACAAAAAAACCAAACAAACCAATTACCAGTAAAGAAATTGAAGTGGCAATCAAAAAACTACCCAAGACAAAAAACCCCAGGCCAGATGGATTTACCTAGGAATTTTATCAGACATACAGAGAAGATCTAATACCCATTCTCCTTAAAGTTTTCCAAAAAATAGAAGAGGAGGGAATACTCCCAAACTCATTCTATGAAGCCAACATCACCCTAATACCAAAACCAGGCAAAGACCCCACCAGAAAAGAAAATTACAGACCAATATCCCTGATGAATGTAGATGCAAAAATACTCAATAAAATATTAGCAAACAGAATTCAACAGTATATCAAAAGGATCATACACCATGACCAAGTGGGATTCATCCCAGGGATGCAAGGATGGTACAACATTCGAAAATCCATCAACATCATCCACCACATCAACAAAAAGAAAGACAAAAACCACATGATCATCTCCATAGATGCTGAAAAAGCATTTGACAAAATTCAACATCCATTCATGATAAAAACTCTCAGCAAAATGGGAATAGAGGGCAAGTACCTCAACATAATAAAGGCCATATATGATAAACCCACAGCCAGCATTATACTGAACAGCGAGAAGCTGAAAGCATTTCCTCTGAGATCGGGAACCAGACAGGGATGCCCACTCTCCCCACTGTTATTTAACATAGTACTGGAGGTCCTAGCCACGGCAATCAGACAAAACAAAGAAATACAAGGAATCCAGATTGGTAAAGAAGAAGTTAAACTGTCACTATTTGCAGATGATATGATACTGTACATAAAAAACCCTAAAGACTCCACTCCAAAACTACTAGAACTGATATC